GCGTGGGGCTGCATCCCAGCGTGGGGCTGCATCCCAGCGCGGGGCTGTGTACCAGCGCGGCTGCAGCCTGGCAGGGGTGGCAGGAAGGAAGCAGCAGGTGATACAGACATTACCTGGGAAGTCATGCCCGCAAAATGCAGCTGCTGCTCTCTAAAAGGATCTATAGCTCTTCACGCCTAAGCCAATGCATGAAATCTGTATAATTTCCATATTACTGTTCCTGTAACCAAGCATCAGCTCCTTGTCCCTTAGGTACCATGAGCTTCTCTCTCTGTTTCCACCTTGTTTAAGCCTACAGCAATTCCAGACCCTTGGGTACTCAAAAGAAACAACACAAACAAGCCTCTGTCTTAATAATTTACACCAGAAACTGAAACGACATTCTCAGCTTTAAACAAAAATGGCATCTTCTGGCCTATTTTATGTATATTTTAGAAGACCAACGCACTTCTGGAGTCAGCCATAGTTTAACGAGTCAGCCTCAGCTCACTGCACCGCAGAGCGGATGCGCGGATGCCGCTCTTGTGCCACAGGGTTTGCACACGCAGCACCGACGGGCTCAGCCTTTGCTTGAAGTCAATAGGACATTTCTGTAGGAAACAGCCCTTGGGCAAAGAGCTTCCCGTTACACTTATCCCCGCCGCGGTGCAATCTTCTGCCACGGACCATTTCCAAGCATATCCTCTCCTGCTCCCAGGAGAGGCCAGGTAAACCAGTTTAGACTCAGCACTTAGAATGCCAAAGGGATCTCGCAGGAAGCCCGGGGCGCACGTGCACCCTGCCAGCACTCAGCAGATCAGCTGGTTTGGGGGAAGAATGGTTGGCAGGAGAACAGAGCCGGAGAGGAACAGCCAGGGACCAGATGCCGCAGACACACAGAAAGGCAGGAAACCTTGAAGGCATAGAGGAGGGAAAGGTTTGATGGGCACAAGCAGCAGCAAAGCTGAGGATGTTGTGCTCCATGCTGGCGGTGGGCAGTTCAGCCCCTCCATGGCTGGCATCTGCTGAGTTACATAATACTTAAAAAAATGGTTTTAAATATTTCATCAAAGAGTAAATCCTGTTGGATCTGGCACTGTATTAAGGTAAGACCCTTGTTTCAGCCAACAAGTGTAGGTAACAAGGAGGTGCCCAGCAACTCATACACTCACGGTGTAAAACATGACGTTAGTAGTTGGGGGACAGGACGTTTCATAGCAAATAAAATTTGGCCTTCATTTAGACAGAAACTGAGTAATGAATTGAAATTGCCCCAACTTTGCAGCAGCATTGCCCACCAGTCCCTGTTAAGAGTGGGGCTGGTTAGTTATTGCTTTTATTCCCATTGCTGGTTTACAGGGAACTTGTGCTTCACAGAAAATGTTCTATCACTTGCAGTGTCTCACTCACACCTCTGTTACATACACACATATATATAGATAAAGTTGCTTATAGGGGTGAAAAAAAAAAGATGAACCTTCAAGCCTTATCAAATGCTGCTTGAATCAGCGTAACCTTGCTGAATCCTGCACTTGCAGCCCACAGCTCTGTCACAGCTCCCATCCAGTTTGCCTTTAGTGGAGTAAAAACAAGTCAGGAGCCAGGATACCAACAATTAAGTAGATTATGGGTGGAGGGTTTTTTATCATTTAATATTTTTAACATGCTACTGGTGAAGCAACAGGCTCCCCCATGTGAGTATCCTGTATGCAGATACAAATACATGCTGGGACCCTCACAGGGAGGCAGCTGCTGCCTCCAGAACCACCACCAGCCCCAAGCCGCTGCAGTGCCGCTCACCCTGCTGCCGAGCCACCACTTGGCCATGTCTGCTGCAATCTGGTCTGGTTTGTTCTCCTGAGCTTGGAGCCTGGTGTTTCTGAAAAAAGTCTCTTTATCACTTAGGAAACAGGTTCCTTCCTTCCAAGCTGTGTGGAAGAAATCGGAAGTATAGGCATGAAATATTTAACCAGAGCAAGCCAAAGGTGGCTATACAATGTTTAGATCTGTGTGTTTTAAAATTTTTGCAGTCCCTTTGCAATCACTGTAAGTTTTGTGCTTTGGAAGGGAGCACAGGAGAATCACCTTTTTTTGGATAGTGAGGACCAGTTATGCGGGTTGAAGGGTAACTAATGGTGGCACAAACCTACCAGCAAGGCCAGGTTCATCTCCCTCACAGACTGGGTGCATGCAAACAAGTCTGGGTCCCTCCCAAAGCTCACAGGAGCTCAGCTGCCTGCCCGTTCAGGCCAGAGAGAGTCACGATGCTTGCTAAACCCTGCATGTAAAAGGCACGTAGTCCGCGTTCTCCGGTAGCCGCATGCTAACCCTGCACACCTGGCGAGTCCTGTAGATTCAAAACTCTTCTCCAGGAGCCCAGCAGCAGCATGGAAACACACACGGACAGGTAAAGAAAAGCAGAGGAACTCTTAAGCAAAAATAATCTAATTAAACTCTTAAGCAAAAATAATCTATTTTTTAAAATTGTATGCAGGGGTGGTTTGTTTCAAGTGCCGAGAGCATCTAAAAGCAAAAAAGAGAGATATTCTCCATTTCCCTGGTTGTTCTCAGTGCATTGCTTAAGCTTTGATCATACGTGCAAACTACGAATTTCGTACATCCAGGCAGTGGTGGCCAGTTCTGCTGAGTTACAGGGCAGAGCGCCTCGTGTGACGGAAATCAGTTAGCAGGGATCCTCATGGTGCCACTTCTGGAATATCTTTAGGAACTGTATGAGTGACAGACACACAGCCCACCCGAGGCAAGGACACTTTAATGTAAGCAATTATTTATATATATATTATATAATGTTAGCCCTAAGGCTATAAAAGGGGACTTGCCCAGTTCTGCATAAATGCCAACTAGAACAAAGCAAAGAGAAGTCCCAAGTTAAGTAATGTAAAATTAGTAACCAATTTTTAATTAGGAACTAATCTTGATGTGAAAGATATTTTGTACTTGAGAGTACAAAGAGCAAAACCAGACATCATACTATTTAATAGATATTTTTTTTTAATCCTCTTTTAGGAAAAAAAAGAAAAAAAAACTAAATTCGAAACATTCTGAAACTTAAACTTCTAAATTTTGAGCTAGAAATTTATGAAATACACATTTCTGCAAATGTTACAAGAAAACTCATGGAGTTGTATTAACAATCACATAAATCGTTCTGTTGTAGAGCACAGGCTAGAGGAGACACTGGGAGACATGGTTGTGTCACACTTGGAGAAACATCTTCATGATGGCTGCAGGTGGAAGTCATGGCCCTCATTCCTCCCTAAGAAAAAATAATCACAAAGATATGAAAGGATGAGCACTGCAAGAAAATGAACGGATCAGAAGGTTCGTACCTACAAGAGCGAGGGTGCTGGGGAGGGCAGGTAGCCACCACCAGTATTGCACTCAGGAATACACAGTCAAAATCCATTTTCTCATCACATCGACACGCCCTATCCCTAATGAGCACCTGAGTGCAGCATTTCGATCATACCGTAGCAAAGGTAGGGTGGATTTTTTGGCAATGCCACCATGCTGGCTAGTTCAGCTCAAAGATGCAAATAAGTCTAAGAGCTCCATCCCCACTGCCGTGGAGGGCTCTGCTCAGCCACAGCCGAGGTCCCTCCGCCCCACCAGTACCTGAGGGACAGCCGGCTTTCGCGTGGTTGACAACAGGGTACCGCAAGGGTGTGATGATGCCTTGGTCGGGTTTCTGGAAGGCCGAAATGAGGCTGTGCACTTTCCGAAAGAGCCTGCGGTGGACCCCAGGGGCTGTCTGCAAAGCCAAAGGGTGAGAGGTGAGTGGGGACGCTGGGTGCCGAACGGCTGTGCGGGAACCTTGTCCTCAGAAACGCACACACCGCCCAGGGAAGGAGCCAGCCCTTCACTTGGACCCCTTCATGTGCCGAGTTGAGTCCATGAGCCGTCCTGCTCTCCTCCTTCCCCCAGGCATCGCAGCCTCCCTGCATTAAGAGCCGTTTCCAGCACTGTGGTGGCACAAGGCTGGAAGAGGGACAATTTCTTACACATTACAAGAGAAACCCAGAGCCTGCCATGCTTATCAGGCAAATTCCGAAGTGATCTTTCGCTATTTCTGACCCTGATTTATTGCAGGCAGTGATTTAACCTCCAGCCTGGGGTTTATGGGCAAGATATTTCCAGCTTGGAAATACCAGTAAGTTGAACTAGAGAGCTGTCTGTCACTAACTGGGGAGGGGATGGTGGTGTGACCTTACACCACCAAATTCAAACATGGACACAGCCTCTTTGCAAGCCTTTCCCTGAGCATTCAGTACCAACCGATGTGTCCATTGGTTATTCCTGTCTCTTTCGTACAAAGGCAGCAGCAAAATGTTACCTATTTATTAGAAGTGGAAGTTTTTCTGTCTTTCTATGTTAGCATCTTTTCAAACCTTGTGAAATGAAGCTGTGTCTGCTTTTAATCAAAAATCCCATGTTTTCGTTAAATCCTTCAGGACATTCCTGTAATAACTCCTCCCCACCAAAGTCACGGGCGGACAAGCATCAGTCCTGCCGGCGCAGTTCCACCCGAGGGACATCGCTCTGACCCAGCAGTCATGGGTTAAGTCCTGCCTCACTGGCACCAGCTGGAGGCTTCGAAGGGCTGGGATTTTACCAGCACTGTTTTCGTTTAAGACCAGAGCTCGCTCACTCGCTCAGAGTCTGAACAGCCCCAGGGAAGGAAGCTGAGAGCGGCAAGGCCAGCTGCAGCTGGAGCCTAATTTGACCTTGGAGGCACATTTCATGGGGATAAGTTGGATTTAGGCTGCTTTTCTAACAGCTGAGGCCAGTGTGGTCTTAGCAACATTTACCAAAAGGTTTCTGTTTGCTTGAAGGAAGGGTTGGTATCATGGGTCTGTAGCAGCATCTTGCCCTGCAGAGGATATATTGAGAGTCCTGGGCCTTCAGGACACCTATGCTGTGAAACACTGATAAGGTTTGCCCAAAATACAGTGAGGGAAAGCCCAAGACCCATACGTAGGAAGCCAGTGGAGGTCATGGGGGAGGAGTTGTAGCAGGCCTACATAACACCAGAAAACCTCACTGTAGACATTGACATTACCTGGGGCAAAAGCAGGCTGCAGCCTCGCTCAGGGAACTATCCTCCACCACCGGAGGTCCCAGCATCCTACCTGAGGCACCAGTGCTCACCCCAGCACGTGGGTACACTGCCACCCCCATCCCCAACACCCTCCTGCTTGGGCAATGCAAAGCTATAGGGTGCTCCTTGATGCCTTACAGGAATGAATGAGCAAATTCTTCCTAGGTACCATTCCCAAGGGTGATACATGGATAGTTATTTACTCCACAGTATTGTTGAGTCACTTTAACTCCCCGATCTGCTTCTGAGTAACCCCAGGAATCAGTCTTGTCTTCCAGAGTGCTGCAACCACTTCTATTATAATAATGGCCAAGGAATTACGCCTGTCTAGAAATCATTTAATGTTTGCAATCAGTGTTCATTAACGTGCAAACAGAAAGCTAATTATGAATTTATACACAGAGTACATCCAAAAAACAAGACCTTCATAAAAGAAAAACAGGTTAGCATCCCAATTCCATCAACCCAAATAGTTGTCTGTATTGCAAATTCTACACTTGAATTACCAGTTTCTTATCAGAAGGGTGGAAATACGTTTTGTATCAAGTTTTGACTACCCTATATATGTTTTGCACCAACGATGAATTAATCTGGAGAGAAATTAACTTTAAAACACTGTAGATTGAAAATAATTTCCTTAAATATTCTGACATTAATGGTACGTGGCATAGAAGGGAACTAATTGCACTTGTCAAATTAAAAAAACACAATATTTTTGCCATTTAAAATGATGCAAAATAATGCACTGTTGCATTATGCAACAGCTGAAATGTAACAGGGAATTAATTTATGCGTTCAAGACTGTCAGACATCAAGACATCTTAGCGATGGGTGCACTCAAGTTCAATTACCTTCAATGAAAATCAGACTATGCAGAAACATGAATAATTTTAATATATTTCATTAAATCAATACAACATCAAACAGGATGTAGAAATTTTCAGAAGAGCAAGGAGAAGTACACACCTCAGCACTCCAGGACCCAGTTTCTGTCTTGGACACTCTGTAGGTATAAACGTAACCCTGATGCCTGTGGGGAAAAAAAAAATCAACAGATATTTATTACTTATTTCTACCATCAGGTTTCACAAGAGGTACACTCCGTTATATGGGAGTCAGTTCATCTGCTAAACTTTCCTTAATAATAAATTCACCCATAAAGGTTCTAGGTAGATAAAAAACCTGAGCTGACAGTCAGGAACAGTGTTCAGCCTACTGGGGTCTTTTTGGTCTGATTCAGATCTAGTTTAGAAATATTCAGTTCTTCAGGTTAAGTGATGTTGCTTTCATTCCTGCCTCATCTTTTTTTTTTTTTTTTTTTTTTTTTTTTCTGTGACCTCCTTTTACTGACACACACCAGACATACTTTCCCTGGAAAAAGAGAAGGTGTATTATTGGCAGATAGCATTACTGTGCTGTGATTGATTTAAATGCAGATGTTCCCAGAAGCAATAGCATGAGTGTAATTTATCTGGAAAGCTAGATCCACAGAAGTGGGGTAAATTACTCTTTGCCCTGCCCATACATTCCTAATTCCCAAATACCGATAAAGGAGACTTACAACAGTGTAGAATCTTTCTTCTTTTTAAATCTAATTTCAGTCTTCCTAGAATAAAAGCCACACTCTAATAACACAAGACATACTCGCGTCGAGAGTCAGTCTTGCTTCTTTTACAAACCCAACATGGTGAATGATTTACAAGGGAGATTATTATACAGATATTCAAAAATTTAACTCAGCAGCAGAGACAATTGCTAGTAGTCCCGTGTGTGCAACATTAGCTTAGATGGTATCAGATAAGAAAGATTATATCTCATACCACGTAGACTTAATGAATACATAGCAGGTTTTTAGGGACCATTCCCTACTTCAGCATCAATTCTTGTTCTTAAGAAAGCAGAAAAATACGGTGTTTCTTTCCAATTATACGTGGTATTACAGTAGTTACTACAAAATAGCAGAAAGCATCAATGACATAGATACCGTATGATTGCAATTACTCACGCTCCATGTCATGGCTCCTGGATAAATTCTTGTTAAAAAGTCATTACAGCAACCTCTGCAAAGCGGTGTCTGATATAATTTACCCAAGCAGGAAGTTGTTAACAGTTGTCACACTGCTACAACCCCACGAAGCGGGAGCAAAAATGCCTGTCGTGATTTGTGAGCTCTTCCCCCTCAGCACTCCACTCCCACTGCGACTAAATAGGGAGGCAGAAGACACAAAGCCGTTCCCTCCCGTTGGGGCTGCTGCAGGGACAGAGTCCTTGTGCAGCCACTGAGACACTGCCCTGCTCCTCGTGTACGGGAATATGCCTGAAGCAGCTCCACGATCCCACCACAACTTCACCCACCTCTTTGTGTTAACGAAGGGAATGTTCTCCCAGGACACAACTTTCCACCTGGCAACAGACAGACACGAACGGTGGCCAGCCGTGCAGGAGGAAAACAGCTGCCGCTACCCCACGTCTTCCCCCAGCAAGCTCAACTACTGCAGTCCGTCAGGGATTTGGACAGGTCCAGAAAGGGCCCTTGGGAAGAGGTGTGAGCAACCTGCTGTGGCTGCGGTAGGAGGGAAGGGCTTGGAAAAGCAGCACTGTTCTCCAGTCCGTGCCATAGCACCATGGTCAATGGTGTTTGAGGCCATAGCTCAAGCCCAGTTGCTTAAAAGCACAGCCTTGTAAGCCACTAGATGTGTTCATGTTCAGGGAATTCGATGTGTCCCATTAGGGCCCTTAGACAATCTTGTGTGATCGCATCTTGTCTTAAAACCTCTGAGAGCTGCACCTGTATTGTCAGCTTCTCACGAGTAGTTCACAGTAATCTTTTCTTTTTAGAACTCACGAGGGGCTTTCCTCCACCTACATATGTAGCACACCAGCCAATACATGGTTATTGAAACCAGGATTTTACAGGCCATAGTGTACTGGGAAACACCAGAGAGGTCCTGGCATTTTGTCTCCTCTGTTTGAAGTGGGTATTTGACCATCGCCATGGTGATTTTTTTTTCAAGCCTCAAAACTAACTGAAACAGTATGTAAAAATCTAAAACTCACTCTCCTGCCTCCTGTTTTTGATAATACAACTGTGCATATCACCCATGCTTGTTCTCAGTTGTCCCAAAGCATTCCAATAGCTTCAGGTTCTCTAAAATCTGATTTTTTTCCACAAATGGCTGTTGCCTGGAATTCCACCATCTGTTGTTCCTTTCATCATTTTCTCAATCTAAGGGATCGCATGACTGGAAGAGGTTGAGAGGTTTGGGTGCTACCCTCACTCTGAAATCTCTGATGGCTTTCAGCACTCTGCCAGAAGAGTTTACTAAGCTGGACAAATCAAAAAATAGAGGTCAGACAAAGCAATATTCAGGGCCAAAGCAGGGTGAGGTGTAAGACAGGCACCTATCCTGCATTTTTCAAACAATTCCACTGTAAAATATTTCAACCAAGCCCAGAGAAAGCACAGAGGATAGAAGGGTAGCTCAGATTAAAAACCCATGAGATACGGAAAAAGGAACGAGAATTTGGGAACATGGATGCTTTGAGCACAGCGTGGAGAACAGGAAGAGTATGACAGTTGTGACACAGCCATGTGAGGGACAAGTGAGAGCTCTCCACTCACCTGGCAAAGGCACGTTTTGTTCCCAGAGGAGGAAAGCCTGAAAGGCCCGAAGGGGTTCACTGTGCTTAAGCTGAAAAACACAACGTGATCATGTGTTGTCGGCTCTGAAGCCATCAGTAAACATGGCCGCTCTGTAGATGGCAGATGGCCCAGGACCACACCTGCTTCTTCACGGAAAATGCACAAAGGAAGGAGGACACGTTTTGTGAAGAAGGTGAATGGCTAAATCTTCCCATGGAACTACTTTCCATTGGGATCTTTGTTTCCACAAAATGCGTTACAGCTCTTCTGATAAGTGCTCTCCCAACGAATATGATCTTATCAAAACTTTCTGTTAAGCAGCAGGAACTGACTTCATTACCACTTCAAAGTGCTTTTTACCTTCCATGTGCGAGTGACACAATTTTGATGAGCCGAGTTCTCTGTACTGCTACATGGGCACAGCCTCCCCTGAGGAAGGTGTTTATGATTTAAAATACCCAACATTAACTGAGATCAGTGTGGACTGAAGGAAGATCAAGGTGTTTTTCTCGAAACAAAAATTAAACACAAAAATTAAAATTGAGATTGTATAGAACATTATCTTCCAGAGAGCAAAACATGTAGCACTGGGCAAAAGTAGGTGGAAAAGTGCATTTACTGGAGCTTAGCTGTCAGGAGATGAGAAATTCCCCAGCCACCATGAGGGAACAGCTCGGTTTTCTACATTTTACTCAATTCATGGCAGAAAAAAGCTCATGATGTGACACAATGTTCCTGTATGTGGTGTGGCCACGTAGCTAAAGCCAAAACCCAAACACCATGTGATCTGGGCATGGTGCTCGTCACTTGGGGTCTCTCACACAGCTTATGCTTTGAAGCCATTATCTGGTGAGATGCAGGCCAAGTCCACCTCTCAGTGACCTAAACTCCTCTCTCTCTGCTGGACAAAATCTACAGGAGATCGACACATGTCACTGAGAGGAGGATTTCAGAGAGCACTCTCACAGTGACGCTGGCCTACCAGCATCTCCTGGAGGAGGACCAGCTCTTGATACACAGCCAAAGACCCAACGAAGGGCTTCCCCATCCCTTCATCTGGCCCAAGGATGGTCACAAGCCTCGCTCACAATTGCAAAGATCCTCTTCCGTGCCAGTGAAGCTCAAGGGACGGGAGCAATCATCAATTAACAGCTTGATGAAAGAGGCCCTATAAATTTTTGATCAAAGGCAAAAAATGCCAAAATGCTGATGAGGGGAAGCAGAAAACAGCCATTGCTGTAAGGACAATATTGGATAGCACCTACAAAAGAGTGGCTGGTCACTACTGATGATATTTTTATGTTGTCTCGCTTATTTTTTTCATCTCCGTAACAAAGGATGTGTCATACCAGCTGGGTATAGTGCTAGCTGCACTAGGATGGTCTCAGTTGCAATTTCACTGCTGGGAAAACTTTGTCAAAGGAAAATCTAGAAAAAGTTGCTATTACAGGAAACAGTCCACGTTATATTATAGGCTTTTTTTCTTTATAGCTAGATAATTTCTCCCAAAGAGCTACAAAGACATCATTCACAGATGACATACTGAGACAGCATCTGTCTACCTGTCCTCTCCACTCCTCCTTTTCAACTGTGATCAGACTCACTAAAGCCGCATTTACTTTAACAGGTGAATAATTACAATCTTCTGCACCGTTGAAATAGCCAGAGGATATTAGCTGCATGCTGCAGACTAAAATTAACCATGACATTTCAGCTGCATGGTATATTTTAAAATAATTTCCAAATGTTTTGTATCTCAGTTGGGAAATTTTATTAAACCAATTTGTATTCATTTCTGAGTCCAAAATGGAACCAATATAAAGGAAGAAAGACAGAGAGACAGGGGAAAGCCATGTCAGCAATAAATGACACCAATTTCTTCCTCTTTACATAGCTTTCTTTTCTGATATCTTTGCACTTTATCAATCAACTCTTCTTACCGGGTATATTTGCATCCTGACCTTACCTTGGAATTCCACTTTACAGTATTGCTTAAGAACCAGGCAGTGATGTGGCCTACAAATGGTGGTCCTGAGCATTATATACTGCTCATACTCAGTTTCTTACAACATTGTCATATTTCAGTGTTTCAGACTGAAATGTTGTTTCTTTAGGTGTTTGCCTCAACTTTATTTAGGGATAGAGAACGCAGAAGTGTCAGCAACTGGGACATGTTAGTCAAAACGATGCTTTTCCCACGTAAAAAAATATAATCTTTCAATTGTTGGTTTGTTTTTTTTTTTCCAGTTTTTAGAGTAAGACATAAAATTTGTTTGAAGGAAGGTATATCGCTTGCAATCTCTGAGAGGAAGCAGTGGTGGCTGTCTAGGCTGCAAGGGAGGCTCTCTCCAAAGGTTGTTAGCAGTTGTAGCTGCATCGTGCCTGGG